TAACAAACTGTCCACTACCTCCTCTAAAGCCAAACACTGGGAAATATACTCACATCACAGCAGGATGGTGTGGGTTACACCTGGACGTCAGGTGTATGTCACTGAAGAGTTACAACTCAAATACCTGTAATAATCTTCGCAGCAAATATTTGTAAATTAAAAATGAAATTTATTTGTCTGTGCCAGTTTTGACTACCATGAGAAAATACTGACTGCTAACTAATCTCTTAAAGTCACTTCAAAACCATACTTTTATGATAAGCCTTGATAAATATTAGTTATCAACAGTACTTGTTCCATGAAAGTTTTTTTTTAAATTACTATATACCTAAAATTACATGCAGGTTGAAGGTATGTAATTTTCATAAACTACTGTGTAATTTCTGTCTGTCTATGACAGGAAAACAAATTTCAACACTATACTAAAGTAAAACAAAGATTTATAAGACAAGTATCTATAGTCTCTTGTTAATGACTGATTCTAAAGGCATAATTTTTTGTTTTCATTTTAATATAATAAAGAATATATACACACACACATAATATAGAACTATACTTCCTAGAAAAAAAGTTGTTGTCAAGATTTTCCAGTCCTAGTGATTATTCAATTGAACAAATATTTGTGAGAGTTTACTAGGTGAAAAGCACCATGCTAGGTACATGATTTCTTATATTACACATTTTAAACGTGGTACTACCCACAAAACCCTGCTTGTCTCTAGTGGACTCTTTCCCCCTCCCTTTTCCAGCTTTTTCTTCCAAAGACAGAAAATATCCAATAATAAAATCAAGACAAATTATTATATATAATGAACTTAAACAAAAGGTGCCATCCCTATGAATTTCACCATTACTATGAGAAACTAAAAGGTACAAATAATTCTTACGCTCTTATTTGATGATATTAATAATGCTATCAATGGAAAAATAAATGGACTGGGCTATATTCTAACTAACCCAGATGGCTGATAAAATTTATGACTAATTTATTAAACAAAAGTAATTATTTTAAGTCTTACAAATCTAATGTAACTTTCTAAGTAATTAAAAGTAGAGGAAAATCTCAACTAATATCTATTTAAAAACAGCAAGCAAGTAATCTTCACTGATGTACAGCTAGTTACAACATCAAGCAGCTATCCCCTTTCTTCTTGGTTTCTTGAAGAAAGGTTATTAAAACGGAAACACTTTCACTTGATTTTCTAGGTAAAGAGGTGAAATTCAAATGCCAAAGGTCAAAGGTCAGAAGTAGCCACATTTTTCTTGCTGTCAGAGACTGACTTTTGGAGGTAGGGCACAGGGGAGAAGTAAATCACATTTTAAAAGTCTGTACTCAAACTGTAGCATATTATGTCCTGCCTATATTGGCCTGCAACAGTTACAACACAATATGGTTAGCTATAATCCAAACACACACTAGAGTATTATAGCAAAAACAAACTGCTGACAAAGGCATTTACTCTGGACTCTCAGTATACCAAGCAACTATTCTGTCCATTAGACATTTGATAAGCAAAACCATGATTCCAAATTAAACCCAATTTTAGTGTGGACTAATCTGTCAGCAATTTTGAAGGGCATTATGTTTTTAACTGCATAATCACTCAAGATTACCATAAAACGGGATAAATCCATGATAAACTGAATTGAAAGTCCACACATAAATGTTTTTAAAAATGAGAATACAACATATATCGTCATAGTGCTTACAATTAGCTTTATTGTCACTGTGGCCTTAGTATGAAATCTCCTCCAAAGAAACTTTTAAGTATCCCATGTCTGCATTATATTTAAGAATGGAGATTTAAAGGAGTTTGGGTATATTTTAGATGGCCTAATGATATATATATATATATCTGAATGGGATCTAAATGCATGTGGCACTACCAGTCAAAAATGATGAAAAGGGCTTCTGCATTAGGTAGAAGATAAGGCAAGACAATCAAGAAGTCATTTCAATCTGATTTTTATGGTGTAAAGGGTATAATATAGACTGTATTTCATCAATTCTAGGATGCATATTTTTGTACATTTTAACATGCTCAAAAGCATCTTACAACTGCTGTCTGCCAGGCAGCAGTCCGGCTATAGTTGTCATGGCTTGCACATAAGCATCCAAATTTGCAGAACTGGTGTCAGCAGCTTGGAAAAGTCCCAGGAACAACACTGGAGCAATCTTTTAAGGAATGCTTTGTCGCCAAGGTTTTGATGGCACAGAATATGATATTATGTGGAAAAACAAGAACAGCAAGACCCTGAGTCCAAAAGTGACTGAGAAGAATTAAACCCAGTGTGAACTGGTTTGAAGAATACCTTAACCCTGGGTTTCTCACCATTGGCACAACTAACATTTTGAGCCAGATGATTCTGCCTGGGGTGGGGAAGCACAGGGGACTGTCCTGTGCATCACAGAATGTTTAGCAGCATCCCTGGCCTCTATCCACTAGATGCCAGTAACACCTGACAAGTTGTGACAATCAATGTCCCTAAACATTGTCAAATGTCAACTGGGAACCAAAATCTCCCCCAGTTGAAAACCACTGCTTTAACCAATTTACTCTGACTACTTTCTCCTTTTCAAGAACATATATACATGTTTTAAAAATTCAAAATTAGTCTTAATGAACTGCTTCAATAAGAAAATCTTACAAAATAAGCTATTGTTGTATAATTGGCAGCAATTTTTTTCCTAGTGGTACACCAAATACACTAAAATCTTAAAATCAATCTTCGATTCAATGAAATTCAGCCACCCACCATCCATTTCTCTTTGTTATGGAACCCTCATCCTGATTTCCTTTGAAAGAATTACTTCCTTACTAGGTACAATTTTAGTAATATCCAGTTCTTCTCCTGCTAACAGTTCTCTAGTTTTCCTTTTGCTTCTGTTGAACTATATATCCAATATACTTCTAAAAATTTTCTTGCTTCCTAAGTTAACCAGAGTTAAGTTTCAGGCTTTCAACCAAAGAAACCTAACTAAAACAAGGTCCTTATTCAAGCTATCCTGATAGAAGACATTTCAGAATAATTTCCCTGCCACAAAGTTCATCGGCCTGTTAAAACTTGTACTGTTTCTCCTCACCACTCACCACATGAGTAGAGTGAGTAGGGCTGCAGATGAAACAAGAATTGTTAAAACTGTGTGATGAGCTGTGAGAATTCATTGTACTCTTCTCCATTTTTGAATGAGCTTTAAAATTTCTACCAACAAAAGGTTAAAATGCTAATAGATAACCTATAAAGAAAACTATCACAATGAAAATCAATTCCAAAGTCCTTGTAGAACAAGTTTGTTTGAAACATACATGGCTGGGTGCCTATGTCCAGATAAGTATTGAGAACTAGTCTACAGGTCTGTGTGCATTTGGGGCAAAAAGAGAAAACTTGGTAAGCAGGGCATGTACAAATAATCGTACAATGGCACAAGGAACCACTTTCTAAAACTGCTTACAAGGGTTTATTCAATTTAGGCAACAGATATAAGAATGCATAAATGCTCTATGACTCTAAAAGTTGCTTCAACAAGACTGCACATAAAACTTTCTTAATGCTTTTTCTAAAGTTTCTTCCTGGCTAGAAAAAGGGAAAAAAAAACTATTGATTCTTCTAAGAACTATCACATAGATGAACACACACTTTTTACCAAGATTTGACAGCTGGAAGTTTTCATGAAGGAGGCTTCAAACAAAACATCTTTTAAAGAAAAAATAATATAAAGGCTGTACCGCCCTCTGCTCTCCTTAAAGGTGACAGAAAATAAATTCTTTATCAATAGTCATTTGTCCAGGTTACAGCTAGGCTGCCAACCCCGTTCCACCTGAGATATGAAATTGGCTTTCACTGGCACCTTTTATTCATCTCATCTGCCCTTTCCCTTTCGTGGACCAAGGCAAAGCAAATGGGAGCTGAATAATGAAGAAGAGAAAAAAAAAAAAAGAAAACCACAGTGAGTTATTTTAACAAAAAGCCTGCACCATATGGGGAGAAAGGAAGACCAAAAAAAAAAATCTTATGTGAAATATAATATAATAAGCAAAGTAAATACGAGAATCTAACCAAAAAATCCTTATTAAAATAAAATTCAATTAAAAATAATAAAATTTCAAAGACAAAAAATTCTACCACAGCATATTGATTTTTTTTGCTTCTTAATGAAAGTGAACTAAATTTTTTTTGAATATTTAAACTTCGCTATCTAATTATTAATATATATCAAACCCAATTAAATAATTACAAAGTGCTGCATGGGAAACTATTGAAATATACGCAGATTTTTTGCCAGTACTAATTGCAACGTGATTTTTAAAACCCTAAGCCAAAAGCCTTCTCTATTTCCTGTGAAAATGGTGGTCTGAACCTAAAACTCATATTCTGTTTCACATGTTTTATACAAATTGGGAGTCAGCTTAGCGGTTTGTCAAAAGGAAGAAATATTAAAGAACATTTTTCACACCCCTCATTCTAGAGACGAAATATTTAAGGCCCATAAAGGTTAAATTGTATGTTGAAGGTCCTATGGCCAGTGAGGACTACAATCCAATTCAAAGATTCCTTACATTCAGCTCTCTCAAGCAAAACAGCTGGGCAGTCTAAAACAAAGCAAATACAAAGTAAGCATCTACTTGGTGGTAAGAATATGTTTGGTGCTCACAGTAAAAAGACAATCACATGATCATATAATCATAATGCTCTGTGCTACATGCAATTTCAGAAATAGAGATGAGAAGCACCTTATGCTATCTTGAATTAAAATGTATTCCCATATTTTTTATGGAAAAGAATATACTTGAAGTCTTCAAAAGTAGTACTTTCTACCAAAAACATTAGTCTTGTTTTGTATGTGGCTTTTTTCAGTTTATAGCTCTTCAACATCTTTTTGATCAGCACATACATAAGGCTCTACTTAACGGTCTGGGATTCCATTTCATTCTTCTATAAACATATTTGGTAAGTATGACAAATCCACCAAAATCTCTCTCAGATATCACGAAACTCACCGCTTCTGATTTTCAGCTTCTTTCTTGGCTTGCTCCAACGCCAGCTCCTCAGCTACTCTTCTTTTCAATTCTTCATCAGAAACTAGAATCAATAAACAGTAGGAGATAAAATAAGTGACTTCTTAAAATAAAAGCAAGAAAATACTTAGGAAAACAAAGCTGAGACTAGATCTGAATGGACAAAGTTCTGCCAGGTGGTAAGTGTCTCCTTGGAACTTCCTAAGCACCGTGGAAAAGACTAATTAGTGCACTTCAGGAGTAATTTAATCAAGAGTTCTCTGGTGACCTAGAAATTTCCACACCTGCCAAAATTTATAATAAACTCAAGGAGCTGCTTATTGTCCAGTGAGGACTGACAAATTCTTTAAAATGATGTCCTAACATTAAAGCCTGACAATGGTATATAAAGGGAGGGGAGGCTGTAAGGAAGGTACTCTGGAGAGGAAAATGACACCAAAATCTCACTTCAATAATTAAACATCTAACAAAATCATTTATTACAAAGAGAAAATCATTTCTATTTACATTAATTTTTCCATGATTTGTGAAAAGAGGTATTTGTGATTCATGAAAATTTCGAAACCATATTTTTTTTTTAATACATGCCATTCAAATTCAAGTGCCAGCAATTGGAGAGAGACACAGCACAGTGCTGAGAACACAGCTGGAGCTTTCTAAATACCTGGTGACTTGATTTGAAACATCTGGTCTTCCCAATTAGAAGATTGTATATGGTATGTTTTGTAAAGGTTCTTACAGCTATAATGGTAAATAAAATGGACAAATTTTATATGCTTCCATAAAAAATAAGCAGTGACTACCTCCTCTCACCAGAAACTCGCTACCCAAAATTATGACCAAGAAAGCACCACAGCACTTGGGAGGATGTAGAAATACCCACAGGACCTAGGTATTATTTCAAACGGCTGAGCTTATTAGATGGAAAACTAGACAGTACTGTCTCTGTTCTTCAAGAATAGCTATTTAATAACCCCAATATTATAGTGCTTTGTCTCAGGGTATATGCAAAATATTAATCATAACAGAATATGCAAAAGCCTTTAAAAATATTTAGCTGGCATTGGGCAATAACAAAGAAGATAGATGAAAGGTCAGAAGGATGTTTTCTCTTAGTTGTAGACTATCAGTAAGCAGCAAAGACATCATCAAGAAGGTGAAAAGACAACTCACAGAATGGGAGAAAATATTTGCAAATCATATAGCTGACAAGGGACTTGTATCCAGAGTATACAAGTATACAGAGTATACAATATATAAAGAACTCTTATAACCAAACAATAAAAAGACAACCCAATTAAAAATGAGCAAAAGATTTAAACAGGCATTTCCCCAAAGAAGATATATAAATGGCCAATAAGTACATGAAAAGTTGCTCAACATTAGTCATTAGGAAAATGCAAATCAAAACCACAATGATATACCCACTTCAAACCCACTATAATCAAAAGGACAAACAACAACAATTGTCGACGAAGATGTAAAGAAATTGGAATCCTCACATACTGCTGGTAAAAATGTAAAATGGCTCAGCTACCATGGAAAACAGTTTGGCAATTCCTCAAAATGCTAAGCAGAGTTACAATATGACCCAGCAATTCCATGCTTACGTACTATATATACTCAAGAGAATGGAAAACATATGTCTACACAAAAACTTGCACATGAATATTTATAGCAGCATTATTCACAATATCCCAAAAGTGGAGACAACCTAAATGCCCAGCCATCGATGAACAAAATGTGGTATATCCATTCGGTGCAATATTATTCAGCCATAAAAAGTAATGAAGCACTGATACATGCTACAACATGGATGAACCTTTAAAACATTATGCTACGTAAAAGTCAGACACAAAAGGTCACATATTGCATGCTTCCATTCATTTCAAATTTCTGGAATAGACAAATCCACAGACACAGAAAGTAGATTAGTGGTTGCCTGGGGTGAGGGAAAGGGGAAAATGGGGAATGATAGCTAATGGGTAAAGAATTTCTTTTTGAGGTCTTGAAAATATTCTAATATTAGACTGTAATGGTTGCACAACTCTATAAATATACTAAAAACCACTAGACTGTATACTTTTAATGGGTGAACTTTATGGTATGTGAAATATGTCTTAAAAAAGCTGTAAAAGAGAGAGATAAAGGAAAGAATACAATAAAAAGAACACTGGGAATCAGAGACTAGAGTAAACACTATTTGAGGTCTATTCCTAGCATGGTCATCAACAATCCGGAAGACCTTGGGAAAGTTACTATCCTCGCTGGGCAGCAAGAGAACAATCTTCTCCCAAGTGATTACTCCCTAGAGACCGTTCCAACTCTATCCCATGCTTCTGTTTTGCTTGTCTCTTACTTCATATTCCATAGCATGAGAAAGATACAAGTCTCTACTTTGAGGAGGTCAAACAAAATCTAGAAAAACACTTAGACTAGAGAATTCTATTTGCATTCAGGCAAATATTAGGATTCTTTCCGTATTAAAGATTTCAAAACAACACAAATAACAGCAGAGAAATTGCAGATAGTAATAGCTCAGAAGAGTCTTAACAGTCTGTTTTTCTAATAGCCAGACTTTGGATAAATGAGTTAATGTCCCTGAGTTCTGGTTTCCTTATCTAAAAATAGCGCACATGGGTGAGGCTGTCGCTATGAAGTTCTAAACTATAGACTCCACAAGGTAATGATTTTCACATTTTCATCTACTTCTCCTAAACAAGCAAAACAATGTGACACTAAATTTTTTTCAACTTGTACACAGTCAGTAGCTCCATTAGTAGCAAAAATTGAAACAAATATTTTACCTAATTAGTACTACCAGATCATACATTAGTATCAACACACAGTCGAGCTGCATGTATAAAATCATGCCACTTCTCCTAGATTATTTCAAAATCAACAACAAAATTTTTCTCAGGTAAAATTCAATCATATTCTCAATCAAAATTCAATTTAATTCAATTAAAAGTAGGCTTCTGTAAAAACCCCAAAACCAAAGAAGAAAAAAAAAAAACAAGTTTCCAAAGGAAGGGCCAAAAAAAGCCTGGAACAAAATTTTGGTGGTGGAAGTTTGGGGTGCCTGGTTGGGCCAAGGGTTGAAAGGTTGCCCCCCCCAAAAAAACAGCGTGAAAACTAAACCCCAAAGGGGTAAGAATGGGGGGGGGGAACCTTAAAAACAGAACGGGGCAAGAAGGCCCCGCCGAAAAAACCAATAAGGAATAAAGAAGCTAAGGGGTAACCCAAGAAGGGGAACCCCGGGTTTAAGAAAAAAACAAAAAAAAACCGAACCGGCAAAACCAACCCCCCTCCCCCCGGAAGCCCCGGAACAACCAACGAACCCGCAAAAGCCCCAACAAGAAAAAGGCCCACACCAGATGTGGCCCCTCAACTTTGTACTTCAAAGCCTCCGTAACTGTAAGAAATGAATTCCTTTTCTTTACAAATCATTCGATTTCAGGTATTCTGTTACAAGCAACAGAAAATGGACTAAGTTTGTTTCTTCCCACTTTATCAAGGTATAATTGACAAAAATTGTATATATTGAAGGTGAACAATGTGATAATTTGATAGGTATTGTATAATGATTACCACAATCAAATCAGCACATTAATCACCACACAGTCACCATTTGGGGTGGAGGGGAGTTTGAGGACACTTCACATCTGCTCTCTTAGCAAATTTCTAATAAAAACTACAATATTATTAACTAAAGTCACCATCTTATAACTGCAAGATTGACCTCTTTGACCGACATCTCCCCATACCCCCTACCCCACAGCCCCTAGTAACCACTGCTGCACTCTCTGCTTCTTTGAGTTCAGCTTTTCTGGATTCCACATCTAGGTGAGAAAATATAATATCTGTCTGTGTCTGGCTTATTTCAACAGCATAATGTCATATCTTCATAGTGCACTTTGTGCCTGTTACACAGGGGTTTCCTACTGGGGAAAAGCCAGACTCGGCAGCGAGCTTTTTAGTCTGATGTGATCAACCTGAAACGAATGGTGAGGCCTCCATTACCAAACGGGGATGAGGTGGGTGGGTGGATGGGAAGGAAGCCAGGCAGGTGAGACTGTGGAGCGGAAGTGGCGTGGGGAGAAAAATGCAGCTGGGAGACTTGCCATTTCTTTCTCTATACCCCTCCACCTACCACCTGCTATGGGGTGAGGTGAGAAACAGAGGCAGACAATCTATGGTATCATCCAGGTAGGAGAGAAAGGTGGGGAAAGGAAAGCTCCCATGGTCACTGAAAAAGACATGCCCAAACGACCAGCTGGTTGATATCATTTTCAGTAAGTAAAGGGACCAAAGCACAGCTGTCTTTCTAATGGCCTATTGGGGAAGGGAATCACAACTTTTGGGTCAAGTCCAAGGTCACGACTGAAAAAGTAATTACCTTAGCTACAAAAGAGAATTTAAAATAACAAAAGATAAACCATGGCCTAGCATAAAGAGTTTAAAATCTAAAATAGCAAATCAAAGCACAAGCAGGAAAATAAACCTGTGTGGTAATAGGCTTTGAGCAAATCCGAGCTTCATGTTATTTGCTTTTAAATCAATAGAATACAAAAAGCAACAATATATTTCTTCTGATAGGTCTGATCCAAAGTGCGCAAGAAAAAAGATACAGCATTTGGAGACCACTATTTAAAATGGCCTTTCTAGGGGAAAAAGAAAAAGGAAAAAAAAAAAAAAAACTCTTCAGTTCTCAGGATCTGAACATTTTCTCAAATAAAACTGTTATTAAACTGAAAGGTCAGTGTTTCAGGATGGGCTACTTTAAGAGCAGCACAGGAAAGGCCAACTTTGCCTATTAGCACAGTGAGTTTCCAAGCAGATCTTTAGGAACTGGCAAAATTCGTGAAATGAGAAAAAGAGTAAAAACAAGAAATGTTCAAGCCATATAAATCTGATTTGCCATGGAAATTTGCAAAACTAAAGTTCAGTAAGTATGGTTCCATGGCTTTTACAACCATACACTCTCTCCTTTTAAAATGTGTTAAGACAAAAGAATGTTTTCTTCACATACTTGGACCCTATACTTTTTCAATTCTTCTCAGA